TCATCAAATTGTGATCAATTGTTGAGAAAAGTATTCCCAAAAGTACTTATCAAGATCTCTGGTGTATTCATTAATTGAAAGAATGGAAAATACAGATGAATACGAGGAATACAACTATGACGAAAGTCTGCACTCAGCTGGACATTCGCGCAAAGGAAAATCGAAGAAGGAGGCAGGGCAAAACAAAAGCACGGGCGAACATGGCCAAGGACACGCAGGCAGAAAAATCGTAGAGAACATTCAACATGGTGAAGAAAAAAGAAAAGAAGAAAATAAGAAATCAGAAAAATAACGAAACGTTTGCCTTGGAAAGAAGAGTTTCATCGAAAAATGAAAATATTTGATAGCGTACGCGTGTGGTGTAGAAACTCTCACTCCCCCCTGGTTAGTTTGCTGGAAGTGGATTGGAAGAACGTATAGGAGAAAAAAAATAATTTTTGCGCGGGGACAGTGAGGAAGAAAACTGCTTGGAAGGAGACATAACGATGAAACCACGATAAAAGATCTGTACTGGACATTGCGAGTAAAAAATGGAGAAGGAGTTTGGGGGGAGTCAAGAGAATACAAGAGAATAGACCTTCGACCTTAATCACGATGCCCGCCAACTTTGCACGCGCTCTAGGATCGATGGGATAAAAGCTACGTCACGTGGTATTTCAGGGGGCAATCAAGTGATAAAATTTGCCAATACAAGTAATCGCAGTCTAGTTTCTTTATTCTATCTTAAGAAGAAGACAATTTAAAAGTAATGGAAAATGTATATATTGATTTTTGGCAAGATTTACATCGTTAGTGTTTGCCATGAGGACATCTACGATCCCTCCACCCATATTTTGACATTATCGTATTTAAGATGAAAAGGTCTTCATTTCTTATTGTCTAGAAAAAAACAAACTCAACCTTGATTTCTTCTAATGCCAATTTTTTTCATTTGTTTGCCCCCTGAGAAAACACATGACATTGCTTTTATCCCATCAGTCCTTGAACGCGTGCAAAGATGTCAGGTATCGTGAATAAGACCTATAAGAGAAGTCATTATGTCATGTTGCCATGGTAGCAAAAGTTTTGGATCTCAACAAACCGTTGTCCTGCAAATATGGCAGAATAAAATGACATGTGTGACTGTCCCGTGCGTGAACTTGTACTCAGGAAGAAACCAGTAGCCCATACTCTCTTCCTTCGTTCAACAATCCAAATGGCCATCTCTGTCAAAGAAAGATTGTTGAGATCCAGAAATCTTGGCACCATGGTAACCTGACGTCACACTTCTCTTGTTTAATCGGTCTTTTAATTCATTCTTTTGCCCTTGTGTAATCATCTGACCATCAAGAATTTGGTTATTTTGTATTTCATCATACATGTAATTTGCCATTTAATGTTTTCATTTTTGGAACAAACTAATAATATTATTTCAAGCTTGGTGAAAATGAGCTTATTGTATTGTCATTTCAAAATTTAATAATGTTGAAAGGAAGAAAGCTTTCCAAATAAATATTTTGTCTATATTTGAAGCTGATAATCTATAATCAATGTCTTGTGATGTCTGTGCAGTCATTGAACTTAATCTTTTCCAGGAACCCAGTGAGAAAATTCATAAAGAAAACCATTTTCAATGATTTGATAGCCCCAGAGGCCCAGAATGCTGTTGCATTAATAAGCTTGAGATAAGTAGGGTTTCCTATCAACTTCTCCACTTATTTTTTTCCTCCTATTCCATAGTCTTCCTTTTGCCCAGTTATCCATGACTCCATGTAAGAAAATCCTCTGGTGCAAAGGAAATGAGTTGTAGAAAATCCTCTGTGTTTATCTCACATTGCTTCAAGCAACTGGTCCCTGACTCTCCAGACCTTAGACAATCTGAATATCATGTCTATGACTAGTAATAACCAAAGGTTAGGGAGTGTGGGTGACAGCGATCAAAGGTCAAAACACTTTTGCTGTAACGCTGTGTTTTGTGTAAGTTTTACATGGCAGACGGTCAAAACACGTGTGATCAGATTACAAGAGGTAGAAGGTCAAATCACACATGATCAAAATTTGCGTTATGTGCATTCCATTCATTCTTAGTGGAAGCCCATTCAAATGCTGGCTACATACATCTGTGACGCATGCATAATAACAACTTGGAGATTAGGATTTGGGGCTCCTCTTGTCACCCACAGTCAAAACTAGCCTGTGAGCAGGCTCACTTGTGTGAGTTGGGGGAAAAAATTTGGCGGCAGAGCTGCCATCACAAAACCAAAAATTTTCCCCGCACTCCCACAAGTGAGCCTGCTTGCAGGCTAGATAAATGCAAATACTAGATTGCTTTAGCCTGTCGACTACCAAGCCCTCGATATTGGTACCACCATGGCAAAGGTGAAAAAAACGTCACTTACAAACTGACTTTGAGTTCTTCGAAACTTCAGTACAATTATCCTTACTCACTCATTATTTCTTCTCATCTCTTACATTTGCTCGATTGTAAAATTACTAACATCTCATTTGATAATGGCGTCATGAGGACCCCAAAATGTCACGTTATAAATCTTTCATTTTTCTTCTCAGTCGCTCATATTTGTCTAAGAAATTATCACAGTCAAGACTATCAGTTTTATTAAATACTTTAATCTTTTTTAAATAATGTTAATCATATTTCAGTTGAATTCCCCACCAGTATTTTCCTAATTGGCTACACTCTAGCTCATAAACAACCAAAATGGTGACTCAAAAATAATATTAGTGTCCAAAACTTTGCTATTGTTTTTCTTTAGTTTTGAACAATAATAATTATTGACATCAATGATAAGACCTGTTTAAGTGTAGACAAGGGAAAATGACTTGATCTCAATTTAAATCAATAATAACTTGGCCTGAAAAACAAACAAACAAGAAAGTAAAACAAAATTAACAAATAGACATTATAAAACAAATAAAAGCCCTGAAAGAAGTGTGAAAGTTTTATACTGTCATGGGAAGAACCAAAACTGCATTTACANTATTAGTGTCCAAAACTTTGCTATTGTTTTTCTTTAGTTTTGAACAATAATAATTATTGACATCAATGATAAGACCTGTTTAAGTGTAGACAAGGGAAAATGACTTGATCTCAATTTAAATCAATAATAACTCGGCCTGAAAAACAAACGAACAAGAAAGTAAAACAAAATTAAACAAACAGACATTATAAAACAAAAAAAAGCCCTGAAAGAAGTGTGAAAGTTTTATACTGTCATGGGAAGAACCAAAACTGCATTTACATGAATAAAAGTATTTTAAAAAAAGAAATCAGATCATTTCAAGGAAATCAAAAGCATGTGATGAAAATGACCCACTTGTAAATTCTGAGGAACTGAGGCACCAGTATCGCAATCAGTCACAGACATTTTCTAAAGGAATTTTTAAAAAACCATCTTATTCTTTCTTCCCAGTTTTTTTTTGGAAACTCCCAGTATAAACTTCTCCAGAAAACCCACCAATCAGTTTAAGTTTTCAAAAGATTAATTTGCTGTATTATTGCTGACTATAGAGAACAACATCATACTGACTAACTGTACATCAAATGTCTACTCAAGCCCAGATATAACTTGTAACCTCTTTAACTGAATTGCCATCAGTTCTGGGTATGAGTTCTATGATTTATTCTATTCCACCTCCAATTAGACCTCACTCTTATCTTTTTTGGTTTACTGTCTGGTCAAATATGGTTTTTTCCTTTGGCTCCCCATGCACCTAGCCTCCTCTGCACCTGTACTCTAAAACAGGACAGTGATGCCTGGGAGAATGGGGAGAGAAAAGGGGTGACAGTGACTCCTCCTCTTTCTTTTCCCCTTTTCTGGTTCTCAGACCCCTCACAGCCAGTGTAACCATTACAATAAAAGAGTTGCTTGCAGAAGAGGCTATCATGCACCAATCTGGAGAAGGAGTACATAATATAGGGGGGCAACTTCCATATGAATGTGACCAGGATGCTCCTTAGAAAATTAGAATTTATTATTACTAAACCCCTAAAGGACACCAGTCTGGGTGTAGCTCAGCAATTGTTTGATCTCTAAAGATAACGACTCGAAGTAATCGGATCAAATTCAGGCTAAAAGGAGGCATCACTAAAAAGAGCTTTTTGTTAGATGTCGACATCAAATGCTATGTTTAACACCCCAGTATGATGACACTTTTGTTTGTTTTACACAGATAATTCTTCACATGTAATGTTAAGCGATGCCTTTATGGTTAAAAATATTAGCTTTCTATCCTGAACACCCAAGATGGAAATGCATCCCCTTCCTTTCAGTATGGGACACACACCCTCCCCGCACGTGCAGGGCATAATGAGCCAAAAGAAAATCTGTGTATGAGGCTAATCAAATATTGAACCAGGTATAATTTTTAAAATAAAAAGAATTATAGGAAGTTTAAGTGTGAATAATCTTAACTGTGTAGACTTGGACACAGCTAATAAAATTGTGGAGAATGTTTGTTCCACTAGTATTGGCTATGTGTGTTTCAAATCTTAATATAAAACTACATCCTTTATTATCTTAAAAAAATTCTCTTAAATTTGAAATGATGATCAGGAAATGACACAGCCCTGCAACGTCACAGCTCCACAGCATTGACATCTATCATCCACAGGCCGTGGTGGTATAAGATCTAAGTCCTCTTCATCAGATATTTCATCTAGTCTGTGAATAAAAACAAATCATTTTTCCAAAAATGAATAGGACCACAACCAAGAAAATTACACACTGTGGTTTTTTAGGATTGATTACCAGCCATTTTGCATGTTTCTTCACACACAACATGGCTAAGGATCACTATGAATTAAAAAAGGGTGGAAGCAGCACAGACCAGTGATCCAACTGTCTCTGGAAGAAGGATGCAAAAAGGTGCCTGGAAATCGAGCCTTGCTGTTGTCAGTTAGGAAACAAAAGTGGCAATAAAATATTTTCATTGGCTGAAGCAAAGCAATGACTGCATCCAAGATGCAACATGCACACCTCCTTAAAAAGTAAAACCTATCTCTTTGATCATTAGAAAGTAAGTCAGGGTCCCTCTAAGATAAGTATACAGTTATATTTACATGATGTTTTAGCTACAACAGGGCTAGAAAAAAGTCCCATGCAGTCTAGTTGTCCGGGACAAGTAGACTTTCTTGCTGGGGCAAGGGTAAAGCCAGGTCATCCTCTACCAAACTCATGGACTAAGATGAGCAGGAAGTGGCTATGGGCAAGCAATAGGTGCAACCACTGGACAAGTGGGAATTAAAGTTTCTTTCGAGCCTTGGACAGACAGTACAAGTTGTATACATGTTTCAACCTCATGATCAAATGTTAAAACAATGAGAACTGATACAATGATCATGCATGGCTCAGCCTTTGTGGTTTCAGGTATTAATTGACTGTGAAGACATAATTATTATACTTTAAGTTTTAGGACTAACTACATTTGTGCACCATAAGACGATCACTTTCGTACGTTTTTTCGACAAGTTACACAAACATAAATGATTGCCACTCTAACCTGTATCCATCTTTTAAAAGCTGCTGTGTACAGTCTGCGAGATTCTAATAAGATGAAAAGAAAGTATTTGTTGATGTCAGTGATAATAGAGGAGGCTAATAAAAAAAGGTTGAATGCAAAAGAATATAACAATAAATAATTATTTGTTCAAATGAATGTGGTGTAAAACAAATTTTGAAGTCAGGGCTACGTTTCTAAATACCTCCACTTACCTTAGAATTCTGTGTCACAGAAACATTAGGTGGTTTGGTAAAATGGGTGACATTTAGCTCCTCGTCACTGTTAAAAAAACAAAACAACCAGCCAAATAATTATTAACTATAGTTATTTGTTAACTAATGACTGAAGAGAATACTATAATTCTGTCAATTAATAACTTTTACTTCTTATACTTCTCAGCTATTAACATCACTGCAACATTGTATTCATTTGACTTACAGTACCTGTCAGATTCTACTTGAAATAAAGGTCTTTCATCTGAATTACTACTATGTCTTATTGTACCATTTTTGCTTGATGAAACCCTATTAAAATAAAAGTAAGAAAGTTAGAAAATTAGAGTCTGCCTCAGGACAAGTACACAAAGTCAACAGGATTTAAAATACAGTCTTGATGGCTTGCTAGTCTGGAAATTTTGTTATAAAATAAATGAGTTATATATGAAAATGCTCATCTGTTGCAAAGTCCAATGAATAATAAGAATGAGGCAGATTTCATTTTATCTTCAGGGAATTTGGAATGTTTACATGCAAAAAAACCTCTTAGAACACACATACAATGTATGTACATGTACAAGCTTTGGTGCTGCATGTTTAGAAATACCAATTTATTTTTTCCAATTCATTTATCCAAACAAAGTATATTTGCCACCAATTCACCAATTTCCTTCATTTTCAATTTTTGGTCACATGGAATGTCACATGATCATAATTAAATGTAAAGGCACAAAACACCTCAAGCTTAAGATTTACTTTTGGTAGCCTGCGAACGGCAGACATTTCTCCTCGCTCATCGCCACTGAGGGACGTTTCACGAAACGTCCCTCAGCAAGGAGAAACGTCTCCAGATCGGAGACTATACTTTTGGTGAAAAATTAATATTGTTCTAGGAATCCCAGCAAGAGATACTGTCAATCAATCACATTCTCTGAACAAACCTCTGGCCTTAAAACCCTAGTGCAGTAAACTTGTAACCTACCCATTTGTATGTCCTTTTCGAAGAGTTCCATTTGAGGTGGTTGATTTTCTTGATTTTTGAAGCTGTTCTTCTACATGTCAAACAAAAAGTAAAGAAAATTCACAGCACTTGACATATTTAATCAGCTTGGACTTTGATGTGCAAATAGGCAACAATGCAAATTTTGGGTTGAAAAATGACATCCAAATTCTTTGAAACATCACAGGTAAATATTATTTGCTGAAATGTTTTTGCTTATTTCCTCTATAGAGCGACAGTCCCCTAAAAGTAACAAAAGCCATTTGACTGTCAAAAACTTGTTGGCAAAATGAACAGTTTATTTCAAGAGGATCATGGCTTCTCAAAGAATATCTTGAAATTCTCATCATCTTTTAGATTTAATGTGAATTAATGTGACCGTACTACTGAATGATCACCTCCCCTTCCGTCCCAATGCTTATAAGGCTTAATAAATCTGCACAGTGAATAACTAAAGTTCAGCAATTATCGGGTTAGAAAACTGAGTGAGTCAAGTTCCAGTTTAGTTTGCCCAATATATAATAACCCTCACTGGAAATTGATTCACCCAGTTTTCTAACCTTAATCACTAAACTTCAGAGTTGTGTGGTGTTCTGTGGCCATTCAGCACTCTGCATAATACCCAAGTGAGCTTTAATATTGGCTGATTAAAACTCATCAGCTAGATTTGAGAAGCCATCTTAAAGATAATAAGATATAAAATTAATATTGCCCCAAGAATTGTTTCAATAACAGCAGGGAAACGTTTGCAAAAAAGTTATTTTATAATACGATACAAATGATGGCTTCATGAAAATATATGACTCCAGTATACATAAAACAACTGTATGTAACCTTAAATAATTCATCATCAATCGACATGAAGCACTTAAGTGAGCTTTGATAAGCTCAAATAATAAAAAGAAATTTTGTTCTCACCAAAATTTTCTTATTTTGGTTTTGTTAAAGCCAAATAAAGAAGACGTAGATTAGGATTTAAACAGGGTGGATGACCTAAGATAGATAAAAGTTTTAATCTATTGCAACACTCCCCAAAAAGGATCATTCTAAATACGAATCGAAATTAAAAGTTAAGCTTAAGTCTTAATTTATGAAAATGCCCGGCTAACCTAGTCTTTTTTGTAGAGGTGACGGCTTTGTCAGTCTTGAAAGACTAACATCTTCCTTTGTTATGACCTAGAAATAAAATAATGATGAGTCACCACAGAAATTAAATCAACACCACTCAACAAACTACATCTATAAACAAAGCAAGACTGGATCAAAGACGTGTTATTAGCACAACGATATTCTTTACCTTTGAATCATTTTCGCTGTCTGGTAAAGACACAAAGCGTCCGTTACTTTGACTGGACATTTAAATTCTAATTTACCCGATGAATTACTCTCATATCTGGCTAATCCTTCAATTTATAAGGTTATTCCACCGGAAATCATTCCTTCGCCATTAAAGTTTTTCTAACACGCGAGTCATCATGGGATTTCCTGATGAGAAATGAGACTTGTCACATACGCCATGTATCTCATCACGTAGTATACAGGCGACAAAAACAAGATGGCGACTGGAAGGAGTCTTCCTGTCATCTTCAAAAAATTCGATAGAAGCGTCGATCCGTGGTCGTTAGAAACCGCTGAAGTGTCACGCAGATGTCGAGTGTTGGCAATCCTTGGCTTTGATCAAACACTACAGCTTTGGAACGTGAAGAGCGATGCAAAATGCGCCCTTCCGAGTATCAAACAGTAAGCTATGTTTTTGATAACTCAGGATATCTTTAGTGATGATACTTTATTTGGTAAAATTTGCGTACAGCCTCATTTGTTATGCGCGCAGCACTATCTTACTATCTCGTACAAATAAGTTAATATGTAATAAGCTTAAATGTATAATATTATGCTTCGCGGCGGTCTTATCTAGAAAATTGCTCATGAAAATTATTAAAGTAAGATACCAGCTGGGTATACTGAGATATGAAGTAGTAAACGATAAAAAAAGGAAGAAAAGACAGAAAGAAAGAGAGAAATGGGCAGCGTGATCACTAAAAGTGTCTCTGAGTACCGTTTGTTGCTGAAACCCATGATTCATAGATCATTTCAAACTGTGATAGGAAGTCCAGCAACACCATGGCAGGGGGTGTGTCACTATGAGATGGTTGGAAGTAGCATGTCAATTACAAGGTTCAAACTGTAGTGGAATCAGCAGCCCTTTGCAGCTTGCTTGAACCTCATTTTTATGACCCAAGCTGTATTTTTAGTTGTAATACCATATGCAGTGTAATTTACAAGAATTTTATAAAGTCTATAATGAATGAAAACAACAGGGAAGTCTTGCCTTATTGCCCCTGGTACAAGACAAACAGCATTTGCTCACTAATCAGGACTTGAAAAAAACTTGGATTCCAGCTTGTCCTTTGAACAAGCAGCTATCACATTTTCCTGGCCCAGGGCCACTTTTTGCTAGACTTAGTTAATGACTTTATTAAGCTTGGTTTCCATAATGATCACTGCGATCACAGTTCCAGCAACCGTCACAATAATTATTGATGGTTTCCATATAATGGCTGCTATGTGATCACTGAGAAAGTATTGAGGGGACCTGGGTCTGACAACATCGTGCGCCCCATTCCTCAAATTCAAGACTTGTACTACCTCTCTTCCAGAACCAGATGGCACAGATTTCTTTAAAAATCTCCCATAGCCTGTTCTTGTGTTTTTAACTTTTAGCCAGCTTGTCCTTTGAGCAAGCAGCTATCACATTTTCCTGGCCCTCATTAACTTTATTAAGCTCAGTTTCCATAATGATCACTGCGATCACAGTTCCAGCAATCGTCACAATAATTATTGATGGTTTCCATATAACGGCTGCTATGTGATCACTGAGAAAGTATTGAGGGGACCTGGGTCTGACAACATCGTGCGCCCCATTCTTCAAATTCAAGACTGGTACTACCTCTCTTCCAGAACCAGATGGCACAGATTTCTTTAAAAATCTCCCATAGCCTGTTCTTGTGTTTTTAACTTTTTTCTCGGCCTGATCAGGACTCAGGTCAAATTTTTCCCAATTGCTTTCCAGCAATTGTTTTTCTTGTGCTTGTCTCTATATTCTGTTGAAAATTCTTTGTAAAGGCAGTCGTATTTTTGCACTTCCTCCACAAAAAGTGGCAAATCCAGTGATTTCTTGGTTCTCATGGTGGCAGCCATCTTGAAATGGGTGAGCATATGCATTGCATACTGGTCTTTTTGCTGTCGCTGCAATTGCTCTGATCGCTGGAGAGTGGTTTCCCTATAATCACTGTGATCACCATGATTGCTGAGAAAGAACTTTCTCTATCTCAGACATCTCAGTGATCGTTGTCGCTACGGTGGCTGTGATCGCTACGATAACTGGAGAGTGGTTTCGATATGATTGCTACTATTGCTGAACCTTTTTTTCTAGCAATCGCAGTGATCACAGCAACCATACATGTATGGAAACCGGGCTTTAGAGATGACTTGCCTGGACCCTTTCCCATAGGGCAAGTAACTAGCTTTGAAAGTTTCTTGCACAGCAAGAAAACCTTCTTATCCTAGGCTAACAGATGGGACTTTTTTAAGCGCTAATTATTCACCTTTTGTGAAGATTCAGGTGGAGTTTGTGTCAAGACTGTGTGAATGAAAGTGTTCAGCATGATTTATCAGAAGACCATTTTGCTGCAGTAAAGTCAGATGCCAGTATAGAATTATATTCCATTTCTAAAGCTTTTGAGGATTTATCGGTTACCTGTGATGCTGTTGTTGCTAAAGACCTGCTGAAAGGGCTTCTACATGATAGAGGAAAAGGTATGAAAATCTGTGGATTAGAAATAATCTTATTGACATTAACAGATTTTTATGTCAAGAAAGTCACAATTTTGTAGCCACATTAAGTGGGGGAGATTTTTCTTTTTTCTCCTCTTTTATTCTCATTATCATACAAAAAATGTTTTCCAGGTTTTGGATAAGTAATCTGTAAATAACATTTATATGATGTAAGAATATTATTGACAGTCTTAAATTCTCAGTTCCTCTTGAGTGCCACTAGATACAAAATATTTTACCCTTGCTGCTTTCTCAACCTTGTTCCCATGGTCCTCTCAGTGGAGGACCAAGAAGGGGCCCTGGGAGCAAGATTGACTACTTCTTGAGAGCGATCTTTTCCTGATTGGGCAATATTTCATAAATTTCTGTTTTAACATAATCGCTGCATGGAAAGCTGTTGTGAGCTATGTAAACAGGTCTGCAAATACCTCTACTTAAAGGGGTTTCTTTGTTGTTTACAGATTGGCTTGGTGATGAAGTAGACCTTGTTTTCGTAAGCACAAGCGTGGAACCAGTGAGACATGAGATAACTCTACTGCTAGATAAGACATTTGTCGCTGTGTTGTCTTTGACCAAGAGCATCACTGCTGTATCAGTTTGCTTTGATATAAAACAATCTGTGAGAAACACAAACATTGTCCAGTCAGGGCTGGTTAAAGTAGTTAGGAGGAGTCACAAGTTCATTTTCACTCTACTGTCCAATGGTGTTGTGCGTATCCTTTTACTACCACTAAGTTTACAGTCTGAAATTGAAAAGGGAAATGATTAAAGAGAAGATCAGGGGAATTATTGAGTACATAGGCAAATCTTTGTTTGTATTTTTTTGCCTCATTAAGCATATGCCTATCATTCTCTAGAGGATCAAACCATGAGAATAACATCCTTGAATATTGAAAGAGGGTAGCAATATTAGTAATCTCTCCTAGCTGGTGGGATGCCAACCAGTTGGCTATTTACAAGTATGGAAGGGGATTTGAACTTGGTATTATCAAGAACAAATCCAGCCAGTGGTCAAAGAAGAAATTGAACACAGGCCATTCAGATTGCTAGTCCAGGCTCTGGTCGCTTGGCCGATCCTGGTTCCCAGGCTTCTCCCTGTAAGCAGGGAACCTGAGTGAACCCTGAGAACTTGGTTGCCCTTGCCCATGCTGTGTCCCAACGAAAGTTGTATTGAATGTACTATAGTGTGGTTGTAAAATGTAGATATATATATTTTTGTGTGAAAATCTCCCTTTTGGTACCTGTTGTAACTGCTGTTTTATGTGTTCTTGACATTTAAAGTAATTCACAACTTGAATATTTTTATTGGTTCAGTTGATGTGTGGATGCCTGACAATTTTATTATGCAAGGTTTGTAGCTGACTCTAGCACTTTGTTTTAAGATGAAAGATTTTGTTGGCTTTTAATACTTCCCATAATANCTTTTGGTACCTGTTGTAACTGCTGTTTTATGTGTTCTTGACATTTAAAGTAATTCACAACTTGAATATTTTTATTGGTTCAGTTGATGTGTGGATGCCTGACAATTTTATTATGCAAGGTTTGTAGCTGATTCTAACACTTTGTTTTAAGATGAAAGATTTTGTTGGCTTTTAATACTTCCTATAATAGTTACCACCAATTAGTTTAAAAGTAGCTAAAGGTATTTTGATAAAGATGAGATGATGAATTTTTTAACTGAATTTTATTGCTGGAAAAAGAAAACATAACCATACTGTTCAGGTTATAGTTATTAAATAGTAACTAAAACTGAGAAAGGTGGCTTAGCATTAAGATATATTGTTTTAAAGTTTTTATGCCTTCGATATACAACTATCAATAAGTTAGATAGCTTATTTTAGCTACATGTAACATGCAGCCATGGGGCTGAATGAAATAGTAATGCACTTAAAATGGTCACAAAATCTTACATTTTGATCCAGCTGATGTAAAAGGAACTTACAGTTGCCTTTGAAGTGAATGCCATTTTCTGCTTTATTTCAGATTCTGCAACAATTCAACCAAGACCAGTATTTTCTCACTTGGAAGTCGCTGATGATCTTTCCTTTCTTGTGTGTGCTGATGAAGCAAACAACATCTATTTAATAAACCTTGATGTGTATTTTAAAGATTCTCCTTCTCAGCTTGTTTCTGCTGGCTTTGTTGGAAACCAGTCTTCGTCAATAGGAAACGTTAAGTTTCAGTATGAACCTGATGATGAAGATGCAGTTGCCCGGGTTTCTCACATGTCCGGGATAATATACGGTGACAGAGTGTGGAAAACTGAGTTACTGGCATTTAGAAGTGATGCAAAGAAACAAGGATGCTTGAGCAGCGTTTCAGGTTACAATTATGCCTCTAGCCTAATTTGCTGTGTGTGTTAAATTCCAGACCTTTTCCATTAATACATTAACTCCTTCCTCCTCATTGAATTTTTTGTATTAACATTGTCTAATGTAGTGTTTGACTTTCAGTTTCATGTTTATTATAAAAGTATCATTACTCTCAAAATCTCGATTTATTGAAAAACAAGTAGCAGTGTTACTATTTTCATGAATCTTTATGATTAATCTGCTGTATAATATTACCAATAAGTAAACCAGCGTGAGGATATGTGGTTAGTGACAGGGATTTGAGGTATGGTTTTAGTCCCAGATAAGCAATAAGAGATAGCTACACCAGAACTTTGCCCAGTCATTACGGGACACCCCACTATTATCTCCATGTATCAACAAGGATGGAAAGAGTCAATGTAGAGCAAAGATTCGTGCACAACACTGACCTAATGGTTTAAAAATAAATAAATATATGAATAATGATTTGGAGGTAGCACATCCACGAAGTGGTTCTTCTTCTACCTGATTCCTAGTCAAATTGGAATTTGGAAATGTTGGTTCTTGAGGAGAGGGGAAAACCGGAGTACCCAGAGAAAAACCTCTCGGAGCAAAGGAGAGAACCAACAACAAACTCAGCCCTCATTTGGCCTCGACACTGGAATTTGGACCCGGGCCGTACTAGTGGGAGGCGAGCACTCTCACCACTATGCCATCCCTTGCTCCTCTCCCTTGGTTTTGTGTTAACTTAGTATTATTTTAATGTTTGTTGTTTTTGCTCCCATTACATACAGATAACAGTCCAGTGTGTGATTCAGCTGAGAAGAATCGATGGTTTTCTCATTTAGTGGGTCCTGGAGATGGACATCTCTTGGGTACATTCACATCATGTCATAAACTGCCATTCACAAGTTGCAGCAGAGTGTCAGGGTTTAGAGGAAAACAAGCAGAAGCTGCAGCTGCAGCTCTTGAAGGTGAAACTAACGCTGAATGCCGCCAGAAAGTGCTCTTCTTTCGTCATGAGGCCTGGATGGAAGTGTTCGACTTAGATGGAATTTTCATCACCCCAGCATCATTTTTGTTGAACTTTAAGTCAAAGCAACTGAGTGAAACAGAAGAACAGTCTTATGATGACTCGTATGGAATGCTATGTCTCTACCTGTTCAACACCAAGGAGTATGTTTATCACAGGTTGTCAGAATCTTCCCTGATGGTGCGATGTTGTGAAACAACCTACCCACCATTACTGCTGACAAGCAAATCACTTGCTGTACCTGTATTTGATATCACGCAAGATCAACTTGTACACAAGGTGATGTATCTCTTAACTGGCTCAAAGAAGTGTGACATAAGACATAGATATAAGCCTACACAATTATATATTCAAGGAAGCTTAAAACTCACTTTAGATGGGCAAAATTGTCATGCAAAAACACAAAACATTGTATCGCCATAGTCAAATTCCACCAATTCAACATCATAACAGTGTCGGTTAGTCAGATCTTGGAACTTGTAACAAAGTATAAATACAAAATTGGTTAAATTGCAGAGAAAGTATCTTCCTTATTTTACCACTGGTCTTGTTTTAGGTAATTATGTATGAAAATGCGGGCCTTGCTGACTCATTGTGCTTTGCAAATCAGTGGGATCACTGTACCATTCCAATTCATGCTTTGGAAGTGGCCTTGAAACTACGACAACTTGACACTGTTGCCTTCTTTCTAAAGAACCAGGACAAAGGTAATGCTGCATGGGTATGAAGAATCTAGCAAGCTGTAGCTTAGTTAGCTCCTGCTTGACGATTTTTGCATTACTGTTCAAATAGTGCTTTGTAAAAAATGTCAAAACTTGGCTTTATTAAAAGCTGTAAGATGCATTTAATACTCGTTTAAATCTTAGGGCAGTGTATAGCAAAGCTGTAATTGTGCCTTTTCCCCTTTGGCTTTACAAGTGCTCCAATAACAGCATGATAGCTTGATTCTTTGATCTTTTGATTCTTGATGCGGGAATTAAGGGAGTGAAGTAGAGCTGCATATTGAGGGTTCAGTTTGTTATTTGGATTATCTATTGGGAAAAGCGATTACTCACAAGAACCGTTGCCATTAATGGATCAGCCCTTTTTAAGATGTCGACTAAACAGATGTGTGGGGATGAGTAATAGCTCTTTGGAGCTCCTTAGGTTTTGAATTGCATGAAGAGTGTTAAAGTCGTTTCTCCCTGTCCAGCCCAGATGCTTAAGTATCAGTGTACCTGAAGGAAAGATAACAAGAGCTTACTTAAAGCTTTAGACCGGACCAACCAAAGGTCAAAATCTGATGCTGTGTCATCAATAAATCCAGTAACTGAAGTGACTGAAAGCCAACAATTTATGGCACTTTCTGTGTTTTTCAGCGTTTACCAACAGGTGTTCTGTAGCCACCTCCTCAGTTTCTTTGTCTTCAGGCGCAAGTTCATCCCCATCATCATCACAAAGTGAGCTTGCTTTGGGTACCACAGATGTGAAAGCAGTTACCAAGGCTCTTGTCGCAGCTGTCAAGTACAATATGCAGCGTAAGTGGTTTTGAACCTCAGTGGTCTAATGTTAACTTACATTTTGCCCTTAGTACATTGTGCAGCTCGGCCCATCAACAGACACCAACTGATCAAGAGCCGTTTGTCAGTAGCCTTCCTTGTTTCAAATTTCAGGAATCAAATGAAGCTTTATCATCGTCATCATCAGTTGCCATTGTTGTCTTCTTTACATCACCATTCTGCTCCAGAACAACAGCTTGGCTGGTGTTGTCGTTATCTATATCCTCAATTTTAATATCATTATCTTCATCGTCATAAGTGCACTATGATTTTCTATTTTTATTACATTTCTGTGCTTTGTTGGTAGTTTCCTCATCATTAAAGTCGTTCATATTTGTGGTTTCATCAGAAGTGTCTGCAAAATCATTATCATTAAACTGTATTTTGGTTTTCATTCGGGCAATAGATATTATAACGGAAGGCACATTATGCCATTATTACAGCTTAAACAGTTGTTGGTAGTTTTATGGAGAGGTGAATAGCTTTCCTCTTCTCAAGATAAGAGTACTCCTTTTTCGTTTGCTGAGAGGCGGTTTTCTCTCTTGAAAGAATATCACAATTCACTGACGTAACAAATAAGCTAGTGTAGCAAACCTTTTTACCTTGCCAATTCTCACTTTGGTACCTTTTCTTCTAGAGCAACACTACCAACACTTTACCCAGCAACTTGCGCAAATGACTTTGAGCTACCTCCACAACTTGATGGAAGATGGAGCAAAACTTTTAGAAGCTGAAGACTCCTCTAACACGACAGAGAGTGAATGGTCTCTATTTTTCCAAGAGATAAAAGAGTGTCTTGAATTTCTCACTCAGAGCACTGTAGAACTTCGTTGTCATCTCAGCAACATGCCCGTCGATGCTACAGAGAAACGGGAAACTGTTGATGGAAATCAAATGTCTTTTCCATGTATTAAAGTAGAAGAGGCAGATAGGTTAACAAAACAATGGATCCAAATGACAGATGAGGTAACATAGCGGGTACTATTTTTCTTGGTGATATTTATCAGTGGAAAATGTGGGTTTACAATTTAAAAGGGGACATACAATTAGAAAACGGAAACAAAGACACTAGTGTCATAGTGTTTGGTGAAAAAAAGTTATTTTGCAAACAGGCTAACTAAACACAGGAGGGCTTTACGAGGCGTTGTCAGCAAATCACAGTGGTGGTGGTTATGTTCCGAGTATGTATAGAAAGATTGAACATTCAGTTGTTTGGTAAAACAAATTAACTGATTTCTTTGATGTACATTGCATTTCTTTTGATTGCTTGAAGCACTTGTCACGTTTTGCTCACAAGTATTTACCGGCCCATCAACAGACACCAACTGATCAAGAGCCATTTGTCACTTGCCTTTCTTGTTTCAAATTTCAGAAATCAAATGATGCTTTAGCCATGTACACTATTTATTTATCGTTTCTGATTCAGCCTTACCCACTGTTACTTTACTTTGCAGGAGATTGTCGAGGATGCCATTATAAACAGACAGATTTCCTCTGCACAGACGTTTTTCCAGAGTAGGAAGAAAGAAAGCGTGGTAGGATGAGAGTCAAAACTGTTAAATGATGCCTTTGTTGATGTTGTCAATGAAATGTGTCAAAACTCCATTCTGTGCTCCTGGTCTCCCCTAAATCACCGTGATTCTTGTCTTCCATTTTTTAACGGTCCTGTAAGATTGGTTTGACCGTGTGCAGAGCCAATGTGACAAGTGGCAACAGAAATTCATATTAAACCTTTTCATCTCCATTTTGCAACCTGTTGCTTTTAGATGTGTTCCTTGCGTCCCCTTTAATGCATTACCCGAAACTTCCGTTAATTGTAGCATCATGTTCATCAATGATAATGGAAGTCATCTATTCCCCTTTGGTTTTACGAACGAACCTGGTATGTTTCAGTGGCTCTAATGCAACTACTTTGGTCATGTCTTAAGGAAAGATAAATATATTTCAGTCAAGTGATTTCAATACCAGCATATTAAGTAAAAGACAGAAACCTTATCAAAAACCTGAATTTAAGTATCTGAGGACACATTTCTCTTGTTTTTCATCTCTAACAGTAATTAGGTCTAGTTGTAAGTACTCAGGCAGATGACTCACTAGACTGAAGTCAGTGATAATAAAGGTCACCCATTTCCCTTTGGTTTAACAAACGACCCAAGACTTTTTCAGCCACTCAAGGACGATTTTTTTGGTCTGGTCCAAAGAAAAGTCGTATTCTGCGGCTACTATAATCTAAAAAAATTCAAAAGCCTCGTTATCATAATCCTAGCATTAAAAAGTTGACATCACCAATTACTTTTTCTAGAGCCACTTTTCTAGCGTTGTAATTACTAAGTAATGTTCAGTCAACAGAGGTCAAAGATGTTCATTGTGATGGTTCGCTGTCAAGCTTCATTGCAATTAGTCTTAAAGTGGTTCTTCAGAAACTCTTGGACCATGACATGGATACTGTGGTGATATTGCTAACAAACCTGGTAGGTGAGATGCGAAAATACGAAAATGTAACAAGATAGTACACATGTTACCATAAAAACTGTGATCTTCACCCACCTCTTCCCACCAATAATGTACAAAATCGTTTGGTTTTCTGAAGGTGGTGTCGGATTTTGTGGTTGTAGACTAGAGAAAAACAGGTATTTCAACGCGAGCCTTGTGGTCTTTTAGATAATGAAGTACTATAAAAATCAGCATGAGAGTGGCTCCTCCTAAATGTTATGCGATTCTAATAGTTGACAATGGAGTCGAAATCAATTGTGTAATTGGACACCATCTTAGGCATCCTACTTCTCATCCTATATTTACTAGATCATCTGCCCCTTCGAATAAACATCTCTTCTGTTTGCAGGGACGGGATGTTTTGCGACAATTGCACACGATTTGCCTGTACACACTTCACAGACCCTTGAGAGATTTCCTGGTAAGCTAAGATTAGTAAAATATTGAAGCAGAAAGAGCGTTTTGGTCAATGTCTAAAACCAAGTAGTGGCTTAAAGACAAAAAACACAACAGACGGCCGAGTTTTCTTCCTTAACCGACTTTAAGGTGTATGACTGCGTATGGCAACGTGTATGACTACGTGACAAGTCAACTCAAATGGTAGTTAATGACTGAATTAAGACAAAACATTGTGGTAATTAGAATACGTTTTCCTAACCTCCTTTACCTTTGTTATGTCCTGTGTTTTCTTCTTATGATGTTTTCATTTGAGGAATGTTCTCTTAAACGTTTAGGAACAAAAATAGGGTAGGTAACAAGCTTATTAAAGACAAAATATTTGATCTTCACCCTGCCTTGAAAGGTATTACACGCAAAACCACACTCTAGTGAGATATGCGTAGATTTCGGACAAAGAGGGAAAAGTGTAGTCGGTCTATTAAACTGAAAAGTAACTACAGTTAACCCAAAGCAAAGGTTTATAAAGACATTATGTTTCAGGCAACTGAATTGGGATCCAGAGGCTTTTTATCGTCTGAGGAAAAGGATCTGGTTGGATTTGTCCATACCTTGGAAAACACATACAGTCAACAATCGTTCTTAGAGGCAAAACGTAACATAAGGAACAACGACGAGGATGACAGGTTTTTGGAAGTCACTTTATTGATACGTCGTAAGATTCGTAGTTTACCGGCCTGGCTTGTATTTTGTTTATTTGTCCTTTCTTGCTCACCGGTACAAGCTATCTTTGTTGTTGTTATTGTTTTAAAGTTCTTAAAACAGATCAATTTATACTTTCTATTTCTCAGCTGGCGAGATCTCGGATTGCTTAGAAGTTCGTTCAATCTTGGATCTACCCAAATCCTTGATACGTACATCCAGACTGGAAGTCTGTTGGAAGTGGCAATGACAGAGCAGGTAAGAATTGTCAACAACCTCTTCCATAGATTAAAACTGAACAAAGAAATTTTTTTAACATAAAGCGAAACGCTTTCTCATATTGTCAAACCTGTTGTTCCACGCTGGCACCGTGTCGTGGAAAACGTGGACCAGTGGAGGTCAGTGGGAAAGGCCCCATTCAACGGCTGAAACTGAACTAAATTGTTGTTCCACAGGCTCCTTCAAGCTCCAGTAGATATGTTGAATTACCTCTCGCTTGGGGATGCACCTGGGATCACCTCTCCAGACAACGAATTTTGGCTGAAGCAGTGCTTCCTTGTGAAGGTATTTGAAAGGGACTTTTGCAGTTTTATGGTCTTCCAAAAACGAAAGTTGAAGGTTGAAGAGAGTCTGCAGTTAATTTGATTAAACCAAAATATTTTAGAAACATTTTTTGTGCAATTGTATGAAGATTTTATACTGAAATATCCTTGTTTTGAACTTCATAACCATCGTACAGTTTTTTTCGATGAGTTGTTAAATTGCTTAAAGACATAACTAACCTTGGTTATTGACGTGTTTGTTTTGACAAAACTGTGAATGGTGATGATGAACATTTCATTACAGCTGGGGATTACACCTGTGTATCTGAAGAGGTGAAAATTGGTGCCGAAGCTATATGGAACTACTTATTATCACACACAAACTGGCAAGCACTACTCGACTGGATCAGATCCATGGCCTCTGATTTGGAAGGATCTCATGAGAACGCCAGCCTCCATGTTCACAAAGGGAACGTCGTCCTGCCAAAGCTGAGTCGTGGTGTCTTCAGTCAAATTGATGGCTGCCACAAAGTCGTAAAAGAAATGATTTTAGAAGAGCTAACCAGGTACAATTTAACTACCCACCTACCCCTCCCCCTACTCAACGTTTGCACTAATTTCTGACTTAGGGCAAAATATTAAATTAGGGGAGGGGTAGGTAGGGAGTTTGTCAGAAACTTATACTCTCAATAACTGATACCCTGTATCGGTTTCACTGATCACGTCCCTCAGTAATAGGAGATAGTTCTTAGATTGTTACAACTAAACTAACTGTCATTGGCAAATTTGTACCACCATTGCTTTTGTTTTTTCTTTCTAGGAATGGAATGTTTACAACATCTCAGCTATCCAGCTTTTCTCTTCTGCTTCACTATTTGTGCGTAACACAGTCACTGTTTAAGGACAACCCGCCAATATCATCTCTGGAAAACCCTCGTGCGAGTGAAAACAAAGTGTCGGCTAATACAGAAGGATGTCTTGTATCCGTGTTGCAGTTTCATCGGAGTTTTATCGACTACTGTATAAGGCTAAAACTTGCCAACTTGTTGTATTATTACGTGGATTTCTACAGGTTTGTTTTACCGCTGAAACTACTTTTCTCTTTTAAGTCACAAAAATTACCACACTTTACTTCAACAACATTTTTGGGAAACAATTAGTACCATGTGAAAGTACTTCTGAAAAGAGTTCACAGGAGTTTGTCCTCAGCCCCAAAAGTTATAGTTACAATTAAAGACCCTGGTATTGAGGGGATATCTACACACGCACGTACAGTACTCTATATGAAGAGGATAACAGATGTAGGAATGTGATGTGTGAATTGTGTCATCTAAATGTTGATATACTTTTCATGTTTAGGCTGTGTGAATGTGAAAGCAGCGTGAAGGAACTTGGATTAAATAAGGAGATACCAGCTTGGGTTGACATGCTCATAAAATGTAGACTCCTTGGGCAGAACTCTGAAGGTAGTCTGTTTCCAGTTTACGACTTAGTTATAATGTTTGGAGACAGTGGTCAAGAAAAATGGCGTCTTGTCTAGATTAGCAACTTACAGTACCAACAGAATACAGGAGGCATTTTTCTTCTAGTCATGAATGATTTTACTGGATTTTTGCATCAACTAGACCTTCGATTACCAATAAAATCGTGCGTCTCTTTAACGGATCAAGCAGATTGCTATCCAGTTAAAAGTTACCATAAAGGAACCTTGACTGTGAAATACGAGTTAACGTCAGGATGTTATGACTGACGACAGTCGTGAGAACCCGCTAGAACCATAAAGCCTTCACTAAGTACACCAACACTATTGGTGTAGGACATAGTACGCATTCCAGGCTTGTGACGCTTTAAAATACATTGTGGCATGTAGGACTGGCAAAAACGTACTAATAAATAACACATGTAGTAAGTTATTGACCATCACGACTGCTCTCTTTAGATCATGGTGCGGTTTTTCAAGCCAGTTTATCAATGGCAAGCTTTCTTTTAAATACTGAGTTGCCTTCTGTCACACACATGCTGCAGGCAGGACGCCCTGTTATGGCCTTAAGTAGCCTTCTGTATGGTCCTAATACACTTAGTCAGGTAAGGATCTGCAGCTTACTGTGGAGGTATACCTCATCTCAAGCAGATATAGAACGTA